GCCTCGGGGGAAGGGGGGGGGGCCTTTTTTGTGGGGGGAGGGGGCTGCTGGGCGAGCGGCCGGGCGCAGCTGGTATGCTGCGCGCCGACGCGTTGCGCCGTGCGGGCCTCGGGCATGTGCGCCCGCTGCGCGTGGCCTCTCCACGTTGTCACCCGCCGTGCCCTTCTGGTCACCCGTCGTCCCCCCCCTCCCTCCGCGCCCCGTTGCAGGTGGGTGACGCCATCAGCTGCTTTGTGCTGGGCGTCGAGGGCACCAAGGTGGAGCTGACCCAGGACCTGTCATCCCTGGCGCTGGATGACGCCGTCGACGAGGAGGGCGAGGAGCTCGACTACGAGGAGGAGCGCCTGCTGGCGCGCGCGGAAGCCGAGGTGGGCGCGCGGGGCGCGTTGCGCCGCGATCTTGGATGATCTGGCGTGATCTGACGTTTTCTAGGCGATGGGGTCGGCTGCCGGTGGGATGCGGCGGGCGTGTGCGGCCGCTGGCCTGAGCTCTGGGCTGGCATGGCCCGCTCCCCACACTCCTTGGGGTCCGCCGAAGGGCCTCGCATCGCGCCTTTTCTCCCCCAAATCTGCGCTGGCCCGACCCGCACCCTTGCGCTCGCCCCGCACGCCGGCCCGCTGCCCCTGCTGTCACCTGCCGCACCCACTGCACCGAGTCCCCTATCCCCCATCCCAGCTTCTCCACCCGTGAATCGAGTGACCCATGCTCACATCAAACTGGATCCTACATCCCCCCCTCCTCACCCCGCAGGATGGCGAGGTGGTGGCCTCTTATGACGAGGAGGACGAGGGCGCAGACGAGGCCGAGGCCGCGCCCGTCAGCGCCGGCGACGCCGCCGCCGCCGTCTACTACGGCCAGGTGCGGTCGGGGCGGTTGGGGCGGTCGCGGCGGGGGCTAGGGGTGGAGAGGGGGGCCGGGCCGGCCCCTGTGTGGCGCGCCCGGCGCAGGAGGCAAGGGCGCGGTCGTGCGTGGCGGGCGCGCGGTGGAGTTGAAGCCCCTGCCTCTCGTGTGCGGTGGAGTTGCACCCCCAAACGTGGGACCTCACCCTGTACATACACACACATGTACACATGTGCGCGCATGTGCGTGGACACACACACACACACACACGCTTACACACGCGCCCCCTTCTCTCGCCCACCCCCCCAGTCCTCCGCCTCCGCCAAGGCCGCCGCCTCCCCCGCCTTTATCCGCGGCAAGCGCGGCGCCGCCATCGCCCCCGGCGCCTTCCCCTCCCGCGGCTTTGCGGTCTCCGACGCCGACCTGCGCGTCGGCGCCGCCAGCCGCCTCATCGACATCGACGATGCCGGGGACGAGGCCGAGCTCGTGGACTACTGGACTGATGACGTGGGCCGCATCGGCAAGGGGCGGCTGGCGGCGCTGGGGGCCAAGATTGTGGTCGGGGAGGAGGGAGAGCTGCAGGTCGTGGCCCGCGAGGTGGGGGGGCGGAAGACGAGGGGGCGGGGGGCTTGGGTTTTGGGCGCCCGGCTGGTGTTTCGGGGCGCATTGGGCAGTGGGCAGGCTCACCAGGGGCCGTGGGGGAGCGGTAAGCGTCGCCCTTTTGGGGGGCGGGGGAGTTGCGGTCAGTGTCGCGCCCAGGCTCGTTGGATAGATAGGCGCTCCCACCAGGCCCTGTGTGGCAGCGCGAGGGCGAAGCCACGCACCCCCCACCCCGCGCCGCGGTGACAACCACCCTGCGCCCCTCCAGCCCCTCCGAAACGGCGCCCCACCCACCCATCCACCCACCTCTAAAACCCCACAGGCCGCTGAGGGCCAGGAGGGTGCTGCCGCCGAGGAGGCTGACGCCCTGGAGCTGCTGTCTGGCGTGAGCGACCGCGACCTGGACGACCTCGTGGACTTTGTGCTCGCCGACGACGTGAGTGCCCGTGACGGGGGTTCGATCGCCACTGTTGACGGCAGCTTTTTGCGTTGACCACGGGATGCACGGGCTCGACGCCGCGGCAGCTCCACAACAGTGCTCAACAACCTAAAGGATGCCCCATGAAATGTTTGTTGGACGTGCGTGTGCATACTTGGACGGCGCCGCCCCGCCTCCCCCCCCTTGATGCACGGCCCTGATTTCCCCGGACCCCCTGGCCCTCACCGGCCTCTACACACAGACACACACCTCCCCCCCCCAACACACACACACACACACACACACACACACACACACACGCACACACACCCTGGCCCTCACCCCTGCCCCCATCCCCATCGTCCCCCAACTCACCAGGAGGAGGACGAGGCGGAGCTGCCCTTTGTCGCGCGCCGCAACGTGGGCGTGTTTGCCCTGAGCGTGGAGACGCCCACAGGTGCGGCGCCCGCGCGCAGCGCTTCGCCCAGGGGTGCAGAGAGGCACACGGCGGCACCTCCCCACTGGTTTTGTGCCGTGCTGTTTCGGGCTTCTCTCATACTTCCCAGCTGATGAGCCTTGACCGGCATGCTCCCTTCAAGGGCATCGTGTTGGCGGTTTTAAATAGCGCCCAGTGCCGCAGGGATGCGATTAGTGGAGGCTGACGGACTGCCGGCCCCAGCCTGGGGGCAGTCCGCCCAACCAGCGGGCGCCTGCAGCTTGTCCGACACCCATTCCAGCCCTACACACACACACACACACACACACACACACACACACACACACACACCAAACCCCCACCAGTGAGCGCGGCCGATGTGAAGAAGCTGCGCCAGCAGACTGGGGCCGGCATGATGGACTGCAAGAAGGCCATGGTGGAGAACGGCGGCGACTTTGAGAAGGCAACAGAGGTAAGGAGGGGAGCGGCTGGTTTGTGTGTGTGAGTGACTGTGTGTCTGGGTACTTCTGTGATTGCATGCGTGCGTGCGTGCGCGTTGGTGTGTGTGTGTGTGTGTGTATGTGTGAGTGTGTGCGTGACAGAGAGAGAGAGAGAGAGAGAGAGAGAGAGAGAGAGAGAGAGAGAGAGGGAGGGAGACGGGGTGGCCGGCACTTCTCGTGTCGTTTGTGCGTGTGCGTGCACGTGTGTGACCGCAGACGTGTCGTTCGCTGCCCCTCCGCCTTGTCGCCGCCCGCACTGACGCGGACGGCCCGCCCCAACGCGCCCCCACACCACCGCCACCGCAGTGGCTCCGCCAGAAGGGCCTGTCCGGCGCCGACAAGAAGGCCGGCCGCGTCGCCACCGAGGGCGCCGTCGCGCGCTACATCCACCCCGGCAGCCGCCTGGGCGTGCTGCTGGAGGTCAACTGCGAGACGGACTTTGTGGCGGCGTCGGAGCAGTTCCAGTCGCTGGTGTCTGAGCTGGGCATGATCGTGGCGTCGACTGATGTCGTCTGCGTCAGCGTTGACGACATGCCCGGGGACCTGCTGGAGAAGGAGCGCCAGGTGGGCGGTGGGGGCGCGCGTGTGCGCGCACGCGCGCGCGCGCGTGTGTGTGTGTGTGTGTGTGTGTGTGCGCGCGCGCGCGCGCTCGCATGCGTGCATGAGTGCATGTGCAGGATCAGAGGTGCCTCAGCGCTGCCCAGGCCCACCCGCGCGTGAGATGCGCCCGACACGCAGCTGTATGCCCGGCCCTTGCCTCCAGCCCCTCCCTCTGAATCTGCGCCGCCAACCGCCCC